TAGTCTAAATGGCAATTTCCCCAAGCTTGGCTATTCGGTGCCCTTTACAACTGATGTCAGGTATGTGAAGAGTGAGGCATCAGACTTTAGGATCAAACAAATTAGCTTCAATTTGGAAATGACTACTAATTACAGAGCAAAAGACTGCTCTGCATGATAAGGTAAGAAGTCCATCTGTAACAAAATGAGTGTCTTAAACATTTACTTTCCAAAAGAGAATAATTACCTTGTAATCATATAATTGTAATGATGTCTAATTAACTTTATATCCTTCTGATATGGATGTTTCCATAATGTTGAAAATCATTTGCTGCTTTCATTTAATTATGTTAATATTAATCAAAACTCAATAATCTTTCATTCATCCATTAAAATAGGGAACAGAATATACAAGGGGCTATACACATACATTGTGGGAACTGCTTCCCATGATTTGATGGCTATTCTCATAAATGGAATGAGTGGAGACATTTTAAAATATGATGCCAAACTCAGAATAATTTCAGGAGATCAGGAAAGAGTGATTAATTTTTAAAAAGTGAGATACCAGAATTGAGTCCCTGTTGTTTTTTGTGGGGGGGGGGAGAAAGAAAGCTTTGTTTCTTGATACTAAATATGTAAGGACAATTTAATTGCTCAGTGAAAAGGGGGAAAGCACTGTGCATATGCTCAGAGGTACAATTGTATTAGTTTATAGTTGTCCTTTGTTTCCTGAGGCATGCTCATTTCAGGGAATCTACTTTTTTAAAATTACATTTGCATCAAAATATTTCCTTGCACATAAAAATCTTGTGCATCAGGGAGAATCTGTTTCCCATATAACCTTGTGCAGCTAATTTTCATAGAGATCTGTGAACTTTGTCAGTCCATCTTCCTTCAGCATTGTTTTTTCACTGCACCTGGAGGCAATAGGTAGCTTAGGTGGCACAGGAGAAGCCACATAATGTAAAGAGATGTTAGACTTCTGGATTTCTTGTAAAAACACCCCAAACAGGAGAGATTGTTTACTCTCACCACAGGGTTAATTTAGCAGAATATATGTGAGCAGGAAACTAGGTCCACCTTGTTTCTCCCAGCGCCCATGTGTCTCCCAATAAAGAAATAAGACAAAGTCTTTAGTTAGAGTAATATAGAAAAGGTAAATTTATTTACAAAATCATGTGCATATTCATACACAGGTAAAACTTCATGTTGCAAAGAAAATGAGGTGGAAAAAAATAGTCTACATGCTTCTTAAGAAAGTTTCCTATCAGCATGCAAGGGAAGTAGGAACTTCTTGCTTGGTCCACACACTGCTCTCTGAGTCTATTCAGAGCCTGGTTGTAAGGCATGTCTGGCAGACTATTTATTACAGTTGCAAAGGGATCATAAGGTTTCCCCAATGTTCCCATAAGAAAAGTAACTTTAAGATTCTCATTTGGTCTAAAATCACATAGGATCATGGATTCAAGAAGGCTGTTTACTTTAGCAATGTGGGTCTCACAGTTCTGCTTAGAATTCAGTTTGATTCATCAGCCCTTTCATAACACACAAAGTCTTATTAGTTTTCTTTCCAAAACTTTCTTCAAGTCTTAAAAGCATGTCTTTTGAAGTATCACAGTCCTGTATTAAGTTAATCAATTGAGAGAGATTCCTGGATAATATGCTGAGCCGTAGCATCCTCTCTAATCCATTTAATTTTCTCTTTTTCTTTATCTGGCAATTGTGTTTCTAAACAATGATAAACTCCATGCACTCGCAAATATACACTCAGCCTCCACCTCCATTCTGAATAATGATGAGGAATTAACTTCAATTTGCAGGTTTGCAGAGACATTGTTGCGTGGTTAGCAATTCAGAAATAATCAATCAATTTTTTTAAAAAATCAATCAATCAATCAAAACTTAGCATCAAAGTATCAGCAGATCAAAAGCAAAAACTAAAAACTCCCTCAGGTAGACATGTTAAAGAAGGGAGAGTGGAGGGAAAAAATGCAACAAATAATAGCAACAATAACAAAATCCCGAACAATCTAGTTTTAAACTGTTCTCATCTGCTCATAGCCACTGGACATTCCATAACCTGTTAGAGTTCTGGATTTCTTGTAAAAACACCCCAAACAGGAAAGATTGTTTAATCTCACCAGCAAAGTTCACATTAAATTGAGGCACTGCCCTGGCTCAGTGCTAGGGAATCATGGGAACTATAATTTATTGTGGCACCAGAGCTCTCTGACAGAAAAGGCTCAATGTCCCAGAAAAAAAATACAATTCCCATGACTCCCTAGCACTGAGCCAGGGCAGTGCCTCAATTTAATGTGCACTATTTCTGGCAGTCTGCAAAGGCCCTTACTTACAAAATCATGTGCGCAGGTAAAGCTTCATGCTGCAAAGAAAATGAGGTAGAAAAAGTAGTCTACATGCTTCTTAAGAAAGTTTCCTATCAGCATGGTAGGAAGTTATGCTGTTCCAAACAAAAACAAGGAGGATAAAGGCAGTTCTCTAGGGACAAATGGTAAGGTGCACTCTTGGAAAAACAGGAAATGAGGGAGGGCTGTTCGTAAGCAATAAACTACCATAGACATACACCTATATTTCTAGAAGCTCTCAGCATGTGAAGTTGCTATAGCCAACAAGAGACCCATGGCTTTGCAGTCTCAGTATCTCACCACCCCTCCCTGGTCCCTGCCAGCTGGGTCAAATGCCCGGCCTACCTAAGAGTAGGGCTGGCTCTGAATCACTGAAATGAATCTATAAAACCAAGACAGATTGAGTCCAATCTTACTTGTCACTGTAAGAGACTTTTCTCCATACTTCTTCCCCTTTGTTTGTATTTATTTTACTGTGCATAATATGCAATTTAAATATCACACAGTATAAATATATTTTCTCTCTCTTTCTCTGTGATATTTTAATGTATCATATTTCCACAAACAGCAAGATTTTGTATATTTTTAATGCTAAACATTTGCTAAACGCAATCTGCTTCTAGTGCCAGAGTATTGGCCTTGAAATGCTAAACAATGTCACGATTTCTAACATATTCCTGATTCGGCATGCTTCTTTCTAAGCTAGAATTTTTGTTGGAGCTAGTCTCTCTCTCTCTCTCTCTCTCTGTGTGTGTGTTTTAAAGAAGTCACTTCCAATGTTCAGAGGGCATACACTCTAGTCTCCATGTGTCTGCACCACCTGAGAATTCATATGGAGGAAATCACCTATTTTAAATCCCATTTGCATCAAAATCTCCCTGCACATAAAAATCTTACACATCAGGGAGAACCTGTTTTCCATGTAAGCTTGTGCAGTTAGGCATAGAGATCTGTACTCCATCTCCCTCCCTCTTGCCATTGCCTTCTGAATGCTCAAATAGGCTCTAATTCAAAGTGACTATAGTGTGGAGTATGCCAAGTCAGAAAGAAAATTGGAGGCGAGAGTACAGGTTACTTAGGAGCAAATAATGGAAGAGGGTTGTTACCTTTGTAGTCTGCTTGTGTTTCTCTGAAAGCTTCTAGTTGGCCTCAGCTGGAAATAGGATGCTTTGCTACGCAGGCCCTTAGTCCTATCTGGCAGCTCTCTTAACTGAACAGACCACAAGTATTCCAATGCATACATCAGTTTCCCTGTTATTTCAATGGAGGGAGAAGATTATGAATGGAAAGAACAGCTGCTAGACCACCATCCTCTATTGAAAAGCCTGGATAAAAGTGGAGGCTGGAAGCTCTGGGTGTTGATGTGGAGCTCTTACACAAGTGAGACCACATTGGATCACATTGCCTGCAATGAGAGGCAGCTATTCATGTATGCACAAGGAAGTTTTTGCCAGAGAGGCTCCAGCCGTGGAGTAGCACATTGGAAAAGTTGAGCAGTGCTTTGTGTCACTGGCTGTCATTTTGCAGAGTCAAAGAAAGAACAGAGCTGTGCTTGATTTTCTCATACACATGTCAACTGCTCTTTTGGATCACAACCCAAGTATATTGATTTAAATCTATCTCTTTATCATCACTAGCTTTCTGCTTCTGTTAGGGCAGGTTGGGTGACCTTTGACTCTTCAGATGGGGCAGCCTACCTCCTCCCTAGTTTTGTTTTGCTTGATACTGTTGGCCTAATAGCTGGAATCCACTAGAACTTAAGAGCCAGTGTGATAGTCTGTATTTTGGATTAGGGATACTAGGGTTTGATTAAAGGACAGAACAGCAGTCCCCACCTTCCACAACTGATACAGATGTCAGCCAGAGTGATAGATAAATCTTACTTCCAAAGGGACAAATATCCTCAACTTCATCTAGCACAGCAAGTTAGTTTAAGGTGCACTGCTTAGGGTAGGCTGCTACTATCCTCCCAGTCTGCCATCCTGGATAGCTGTTCCTCACTTTGTGTCATATTTGGCCCAGTGCTGTTCAAATATGTCCAGGGGAAAGAAAGGGCTTTCCAAAATTTGGAGGAATGGGACTGTGATCTCTTACTTCACTATGAAAACCTGACACATCACAAAAGTATTCTTGGAGGGCTTGTCTTACTGCATTCCAGGCATACAATTCAAAGTGAGGTGATCTGCTCTGATGCAATAAAAAAAGTTTCTGGTGCAAGGCTAATAGATGTGTAGTGGCAAATTTAGAACTCAGACCATTCACTTTTTAAAGACTACAATTCCCAGATTCCCTCAGCCAGTATGACTATTGGAGGACTCTGACAGTTATTGTCTGGAAAGGTAAGCGTTCTCAGAATTGTGGAGCAGGAATTAATCATGACACCCCTCACTCTCAAAAGCATAATATCTAATATATTTGGATGAGCACGATTGCACTCCTACTTATAGTCCCCTGGAAATGAGGTCCATCAGTGCTTATTTCTGGGTGCCTGACTTCAAGCTGGCAAACACAATGAGCTTCAACAAAATTCCTTCAGCCAAATAGAATGCAATCTTTAGCTTTTAATTAAAAATGTCAGCACTTGTGCAGAGGAGTGCCATTTAAATGGCTAGCTTGATGTAGAAATTCCATTAAAGGAAAAGAAAGAGGTCTTCATGTGTGGTATAGTGGTTTGAGCGTTTGACCATGATTCTGGAGACCAGGGTTCGATTCCCAGCTTGGCCATGAAACCCACTGGGTGACCTCAGGCAAGTCACACTGTCTCAGCCTCAGAGGAAGGCAATGGCAAATCTCCTCTGAACACATTTTGCCAAGAAAACCCTACAAATGCCTTAGGGTCGCCATAAGTCTAAAAAGGACTTGAAGGCACACAACAACAGCAACAGCAACCTGTGACAGACAACAGCAAAACTTGAAAAGATCATCATCATCATCATCATCACAATCAATAGCCAGGTCTTAGGCTTAGAGGAACAATTAATTACTCTGGTGTTCTGGCAGAGAATGTCATCACTGCTTCTGTGTGTGTGTGTGTGTGTGTGTGTGTTGCAATCTTGAGCAGCTTGCATTCTCCCCATTCTCAGTGCACCACTTCAGATTTCAGGAAAAGCTACAGACAGTTCAGGCTTCACTTGGTGGTCCCTCAAGGCAAAATCATTTTGTGACTCTGGAAACCAGGGTTCGAACCTTGGCTATGCTGTGGTACCCACTGGGTGACTTTGGGAAACTCACACTCTCTCAGCCTCAGAGGATGGCAATGGCAAACTCCCTCTGAAGAAACTTGCCAAGAAAACCCCCAATAAGCCTTAGGATCACCATAAGTCAGAAACAACTTGAAGGCACACTACAACAACAAGCTGAGGCAAAAGACAGTAAGCAGCTAGAGAAAACAGAAGGCTGATTCAGTGATCCAAAACTGTGGATAAACTACCAGTAGATGGTTTTTTGACTATCTGAATTCAACAGAAAAGAAATCTTATCAAAAAGAGCCTAAGGGGCCATAAAGGTTGTCCAACATCCAACCACAACCCCTTCTACCACCTGGCAATCCATCTCTGAACTTGAGGAAGGCTTCAATAGCAGCTTAACTTTAAGATGGGGGAAGGAATTGGGCAGCTATCCAGATGTAGTAGGTCCACAGTTCCCAGCATCCATTACCATTGGCTTTGCTAGGCAAGGCTGCTGGATGTTGCAATCTAACATCTGGAGGGCTACATAACTCTGTAATTTTCCTTAGAGCAAGGCTACGGGCCTGAACAGACTGCCAGAAATAATCTAGCTTGAGACCACTTTAACTGTCCTGGCTCAATGCTAGGAAATTATGGGAATTGTAGTTCTTCTGAGACATTGAGCCTTCTCTGTCAGGGAGCTCTGGTGCCAAATAAACTACAGTTCCCATAATTCCCTAGCACTGAGTCAGGGCAGTTACAGTGGACTCAAGATGGATTATTTCTGGCAGTCTGCAAAGGCCCTAAATTCATCAAACAATATTTTTGAGAGGAGGGTTTGGACACTTGTCCCTTCAACCTGTTACTGCCTTGTAAATCACTGCAGTCTTACAGTACTGGCTCTGATTTTGAGATTTGTGTTTTTTACTGGTCTGTTCTGCGGCAGAAGTAATGCTGGGGTGGGAGTGGGGAACCAAGAAAGCTTGAAAAAGTTACTTGTGTGGCCTACAACTGTCAAAAATTCCCAGCAAGCATGACCACTAGGGAGCTGTGGTCCAAAACAGTAACTTTCCCAAGCTATTCACTTCTCTAGGTAGCTGAGCACTACCTACTGAATAACAAACTCTGCTAAGTAAGGGCCTTTGCATACTGCTAGAAATAGTGCAACTTGAGTCCACTTTAACTGCCCTGGCTCAGTGCTAGGGAATAATGGGAATTGTATTTTTTCTGAGACATTGAGCCTTCTCTGTCAGAGAGCTCTGGTGCCACAATAAACTACAGTTCCCATTATTCCCTAGCACTGAGCCAGGGCAATTAAAATGAACTCAATTTGCACTATTTCTGGCAGTCTGCAAAGGCACTAAGAAATTCTGCACAAACTCAAATGCTTCTGTATAAACAAAGGCAATCCAAGTTGATTGATCTGGTCCCTTATCCATTTTGTATATTATCATCATCATCCTTCTTCTTCTTCTTCTTCTTCTTCTTCTTCTCCCACCAAAGCAATTACTGTTCCTACCTGCTTCCTCATCAGCAGTTTGTTCACATCCCTCCTACACTAAGCATATTTCATTTTCTTTGTCTAAGGTGCAGAATGGTTATGAATAGTAAGGACAGACTAGCCGTAATTATTTTTTAATTATTAATGGTTTTGTTAGATCCCTTCACTTTTTACATTCTATTTTCTCTAATGTGAGTTAAATAAAAACGTACTCAGTTCCCAGGGAGTCCCACAATGTATTTTTCATCCTTTCATAACATTAGCTCAAATTCAGTGAGTAAACAACCATTAAGTTCCTGACTCTGGGCAGCCACTCTGTGGGTCTGTCTAATAAATATAGGGGGAAAAACACTTGGATCAAACACCCCAGAACAGTTCAGAATAGCTTAATTTCCTACTTTTAATTTCTCCTTAGTGCTCTTAGGGCCTTTGCAGACTGCCAGAAATAGTGCACATTAAATTGAGGCACTGCCCTGGCTCAGTGCTAGGGAATCATGGGAATCATGGGAACTGTAATGTATTGTGGCACCAGAGCTCTCTGACAGAGAAGGCTCAATGTCTCAGAAAAAAATACAATTCCCATGATTCCCTAGCACTGAGCCAGGGCAGTGCCTCAATTTAATGTGCACTATTTCTGGCAGTCTGCAAAGGCCCTTAGTTGACAACCAACAAAAGGTAAATCAAACAAGTATCTACTGATTCCCTGTCTAGGGCTGCATCCGCACTGCAGAAATAATCCAGTTTGACACCACTTTAACTGCTATGGCTCAAGGCTATGGAATTCTGGGATTAGTAATTTTGTGAGCTATTTAGCCTTCTCTGTCAGAGAGCTCTGGTGCC